GTGCTGCTGCAGCAAAGCAAGCCAACAAGATGCTGCTGGGTTGCATCAACAGGGGCATCACCAGCAGAAATAAAGAAGTCATTATCCCATTCTACTCAGAGCTTGTCAGGCCACACCTGGAATACTGTGTTCAGTTTTGGTCCCTGCTATGCAAAAAACATGTGGACAGGCTGGAGAGGGTCCAGAGAAGAGCCACAAAGATGATCAGAGGACTGGGAAGCCTGCCATGTGAGGAAAGGCTGAGAGAACTGGGTTTGTTCAGCCTTGAGAAAAGAAGGCTTAGGGGAGACCTTATCACCATGTTCCAGTATTGAAAGGGTGGCTACAAAGAAGATAGAGACTCCCTTTTTACAAGGAATCACATGGAAAAGACGAGGGGTGATGGGTACAAGTTATTCCTCAGGAGATTCTGATTGGACACAAGAGGAAAATTTTTCACAATGAGAACAATCAGCCATTGGAATAATCTCCCCAGGGAAGTGGTGGATTCCCCCACATTGAACACTTTTAAGATTCAGCTGGACAGGGTGCTGGGCCGTCTTGTACAGACCGTGCTTTTGCCACGAAGGGTTGGACCAGATGATCCTTGAGGTCCCTTCCAACCTGGTATTCTGTGATTCTATGGTCACCTTGCGTAGATTGTGTCCTTGTAGATGCTGCTACAGGGCAAAGGATTCTTCTTGTATTACTAGCTGATATCCCAACCCATGATATTTCTTCCATTTTAAACAGAGACCTTGCAAAGAGGTTTGTAAAAAAATAAGAGGAAAAGTTTCCTTGGAACTTTTGGATATTTTCCCATAAAAAAGGTAAAAGCTACCTTTAAAAATTAGTCTTGCTTGTGTTTGCTCAAATACAATATAGGAGCTGTTATTATTGTTTCAGACTACAAAAGTATACCACATGGAGGCTAGACTTTGGTTAATTTTTCCCCGTTTTATAAAAACGTTTAATTTAGGGTTTGTCATCTTTAAAAAAAAAAAAAAATCACATCTGTTGCACAATTATAAAAGGCACATATAAAAGACTGAAAGAAAAAAGTCCACCTTCCAACCTTAAACGGATTAAATAAAAATGAGCATTCCAGAGTATTTTCTACCAAAAAAAAGAAATAAAAATTATATATAACCATAAAGACAAACATACAAGTGGCTAAAAAGGCCTTTTTTTTTTTTTTTTTTTTCCTGGAGTTTTCAGTATTGTTTTCTCTCTTGTTATGGCTGTATAGGAAGCAATATTAAATAATATATGATCAGAGATGATTTGATCCATATTTTCTAGATGCTATCAATGCAGAATGAGGCAATGGCTGAAAAATTTACTACTCCAGGCAACTTCATCATGTTTTTGCTTAATACAGCATAAAACCAGAAGTAATAGAGGAAACAGAAGAGACAGTTCAAAAAGATGATCAGCAGAAGTGAATTCATTTCTTTGAGGTAATCCTTACTATGATGTTCACAGCTGCCCTAGCAGGTCTCAAGTCCCAGAAGTCGTTTTCACTCTTCTTCTAGGATCTCCTGCCTTACTCGAGGAAAGAACAGACACACAAACAGCAGTTCCTGTGCCCAGGCTTCCCCTAATTGCAACAGGCAGATCTTTCATCAGTAATTCAAGAATCAAGCCGTAGAGCCTAAGCAGAAATTCATTTATTCCCACAACTGATTGGTAGTTCCCAGCTATCTGTAGATAGGAAATCATGTGCAGCGTGGAAGCCGGTCCTCGGCCGAGCTCCCTGCGGTGAGCATTGCAGCAGTGAGACGCTCTGAATCCACCGCAGATTCATGCATTAAAACCCGGCTGGCGCCCAGATCATCTTCACTGAGCTTTGTTCTGCTGCATGTTGGAAATTGCAGCCCCCACTTCTCCCCATGGCCAGGGTCATCTGCCCTTGAAAAAATTTATTTTTTCAATGGAGGCAAGAGTCAAAGTTACATTGAACTCAAAATCCCCGTCATGGACACCTGTCTTCCGGAAAGCCCCAGCTGAAGCGTTGTTTTCCCAGTAGTGATGCCAGTGTCCTTTGCTGTTTGCTCCAAAACCGTACACATTCACCTAGGAAGTAAGAGAGAACTACTGTTATGGCCTGGAAAGCTTTGAAATGTTGAAGAAACTCTCCTGATTCTCAGTTTATCTATGGCCAGCAGCACCTGAGGACCTCGGCGGTGTGCCAAGCTATTGTACTGCATGAGACGATGCAATCGCAGAATAACAGCCCAAGGCCTGCTCAAGGGACGTTACATCCTAAGCTATGCTGAGACCATCACCATACCTGAACCCAGACAGAAGAGGGAATTTCTACCCATGAATTCTAGTTTAGCAATATGAAAAACACATTCCTGTCCCCTAAGCATGATGTTTGATCTCAGGAGGTCAGTGGCTTGGGATGGGAATCTCCTCTTTAGCTGATTAAGGCCACGAAGAGTGGAAAAAATTTGGTTTTGCTCCTAGTCTTCCAAATGATGACCCATGTCGACCCCCACTTATACACTTAATTATATGACATTTGCAGTCCCTTCAGAGGCAGATGGACATTATGTTCTTTGTGTGTGTATACGCCTATGGCCTTTCCTCTCCCAACTGCTCATTCATCAATAGCTATGCCTGTCTCCTCTGGTGGTAGAAGTCCAAACATCACAGCTGACTTCTATTTAAACTGAGACTGGCTATATGGCTGGGTTTGAATGGGTCATAGCCCACAAAACAAGTGCCCTAACCCACCCACACCTGGACCCACCCAAATACAAGCTGGTTTTAAGTTATTTTTGGTAATGTCAGAGCCTTGCTCACTGCCTGCTTACTAGAAAACAGGCTCCACCCAAGCCACCCATCTTCCCTGCCTTGACTATGGTACAGTTTCTGCCAGTATCATTATAAGTATTTCCATCACCTCTCCAAGCAGCACAGGCCTAGGTGACAAAAGCTCTCTTTCATCAGCAGATCTGTGTCCGGACCAGGGATTTTGCCAGCACGGTGATTTTTATCCCCCATGCTGACAAGCCCATAGTTGCAGGATTTTGTAGAGCTGACCTGGCCTTACACTAGCTAGCTAAGTCTCCAAACACCTAGAAGCATCTCACATCACTCAAGCCAGGGAATTCCCTCAAGTAACTGCTGGAGCAGTTTCATTTACCATAACCTTCTGTATAAACCCACAAGCTTGGGTTTGAAAATAAACCATCTGCATTCCCCAAATTGGCTTATGTAAAAGCTAGTCATCGAAGTTCTTCAGGTGGGATTATGTTTAAGATTTAGATATCCAAATGGAGGTGCCTGAGCATCCATTACAGTCAGTGGTGGTTCAGGCAGCACAGTTACTGGAAACTAGGGAGCGATCCTGCTCCTTTAATGTCTTACCAGGGGGTTGGTTTGCTGAATTAGCCTCTTGGCTCCACTGATTATACAGATAAGACCTCAATGCAGTTGCCCAAACGTAAGTGCCGTTTGAGATGTCCTTGAGTACTCAATACATCTGCTCAAGGCGGGCAGATGTCACACAAGGCCATGAGACTCGTACTTCTCTGGCCTGGCAGCTGGAGGCAGAGGGCATGCCCGGGGCAACACCAATGGCCCTAGGTGCCTAAACAGTAAAACACAATGTAATTTGGGCTTCCACTAACGAAATGGGCATGGACACCATCCATATTTAGATGTCTTTTAATGCCAAGTGGAATCCCACTATTTATGTTTAATTATATTCCCCTGAAATGCATCTTAAATCCTACCACTTGCTGACATTAAAAAAATCAGTCACTGTCAGTTGAGTATATCTGCATGTTACTGAGGACTCTGCATCTGTTTGAAGAAGCAAATGGCAGAGAAGATGGAGAGGGGGAAATAAAGGCTGAGTGAGTGTCCAGGGCATGTTCCTGGCACTTCAGTGTGAAATGTCCTGATTTTTTATCCATATAACCAAACACAGCCAGACCTCATCGCATACGTGGAGTGCAAATATCAAAGACAGAAGGCCTGTGGAGGGGTATCTCCCATGATTCTGGAGCCAGTTTTCATAGACGTATTTCATAAAAGCTGGATTATAAACCAGGATCTAGGCAAAATTGGAGAGAAAGACTCATTAGTAAAATAGCCTGGGAAAAAAAACAACGATAGCGTGTCATCCCTAAAGGACACTGGGGTAGGGGAGTGGGGCAGAAAGGAATAATAGTTATTCCCTGAGGGCAGGTGAAAGGGAAAAATAAAGTCCCATAGTTAAGCGCATTCAAGAATATTTCCCATGTGCAATTACACATGCATATTCCTTCCTTGGTCTTGATACCCCGCCTGCTTACACTAATGTAAATCCTGGGTAATTCCTACTGAAACCAATGGGTATGAAATGGCACAAGTGAGAAGAAAATTAGGCATTCAACTCTCCCTGCAGCATCCTGCTGCAACGCAGGTGAGCTCTGGGGAGTTGGAGGCCTGAGCAAGGCAAGTGTAAGGTGCCATGCCAGATTTAATAGAATCATGGAGTCATAGACTCATTTAGGTTAGAAAAGACCCTTAAGATCATTGAGTCCAACCCTAATTTGGATGGGAATGTAGGAGCAACCACATCTTCTGCACAATATGCCAACCATGTCTTGGTATCTCTATAGGTACAGATCTAAGGAATCCAGGAGTCGGGTGTAAACTATCAGGAAGCCTACCAGGTTGTGTCAGCTGCATTTCTTTTGTTTCCCAAACATGCTATTTTTCTATGCTTTTTTTTTTTTTTTTACATGACATAAATTGCACTTGGTTATCTCCTGGGGAAATTATGAAGCTATCTAATGGAGACAGAGCACTTAAGATCAGATCTGAGTGACAGCAAATCCAAGGACTGGTGGGAGCCCTTGATTTCAACCCCCTTCCCTGAATCAGGCAAAAAGAGGCTTTTCCCTCCATGCTGCGTTTGTAATTAAGAGTGACAGCCTTTCAGTGCTATCTGGTTAGCTGCAAGGCTTTTCCTTTTACAAAGTCAGAGGTTAATTGCTGATATTGTATCTGTGTATAATCGCTTCTCACAGGGTGTTTTGCATTCTCAGTGTGGGAAGAAATACAAGCTTCTCATATCCCTGCTCAGGAAGCTGCTGCATATCACCAGATGTACCCTGGGATGATGCTACTCAACTGTGACGCGAGTTTAACAACCTGCTGTAGTGCATCTCAGAAGAGTTTTGCAGAGGTTGATGTGTTCCTCACAAAAGGTAGGGAGGAGCTATTTAATACCCCCAGAGGTCCACAGTTTGAAGCACAGGGATATAAACTGGTACTGGTTAAAGGTCTCATCTGAAGCCTTTGGCAAAACCTGGCCTCCTTGAATGAAGGACATGTTCTTTAATCTGTAATTTTAATGCTCTGGGGCTTTACCAGCCCTTGAGACGTTAGGAGCCTGAGCTTCTCTGAAAATCAGCCTCTCCAAAGGCTGAGAGAATGAGACTTTTATTTTGCTGGAAGATCTGAGGAAGAGGAAACGTCTTTTACGTCTCCCTACACAACCTGCCTTGGTTATGTCCTCAAACCATGCAACTACAACAACAAAAGTCTTTGCACGGCGCCTAAAGGTCCAACATGGGAAGGACCATCCTGCCCCATGGGAAATCTTGCCTCCAGCAGTAGGGCATGTTTATTAAACCACAACATACTTGGGCAATGAGTCAGTATGCATGGGATGGACTCTACTGACTGCTGTAGGGTCGGCACCAGTTTGTCCATCTTTTTTTGACCTTCTCAGAGAAGTGAGGTCCCCTGACTGATTGCCTTCTACACATCCACAGTATAAAATAAAATGGGTCAGAGGCCTTAAGGGAAGTGGCATGGCACAGATTGTGCCCACATTGCTCAATTCTGTCCCTGTGCAAAATAGGGAATATTCCTGGTTTGCACTACCCTCCAAACTTCCTGGGAGAGTATTAATATACTTGGGACAAAACCAGCATGAACTTGGCCTAAGCCCAGTTTCCAGGCTTGTTTAATTGGGTACAGACAGTTATTACAGCTGTGGGCTAAAAGCCTTCCCCAAGAACCATTGATACCATCTTGAATTCTCCACTGACTTGAAAACACACAGCTTTATTTGTTCAGAGTTCACTTAGCTCTTTATTACAAGGAACTGACCCGGGAATGAGAAACATCCCTGGCATTCAAATAGTCAAATTATTTTTAAAAAACTCCAAAGGATCTGCACAGCTCAAAGTGCCATTACATCCAAATGACTGCAACGGGTGGGAACAGAGCAACTGCTGTGGAGGGCAAGCACAGCTGGCCAACGGTGCACCTTAAATCTCCCTGAGCAGTATCAGAGGAAGCAACGCAGCCTTCAGAACAGCAGTAATGCAATGGCATAGTCACAAGAGCAGTTTCTTTCCAACCTCAGTTATTTAGTAGTTCATCTATGGCCTGAATGGCACACAGGAGCTAAACCTTTAGCATAGCTGAGCCTTGTAAAATGTGTGTATTCTGGTTGCAGTTTTTGTGAATGGCACACAGGAGCTAAACCTTTAGCTTAGCTGAGCCTTGTAAAATGTGTGTGTTCTGGTTGCAGTTTTTATGAATGGCAAGGGGTTCCTTGGATTCTTGCAGTCTCCCAAAGAGGCAAAAGACCTGTAAGTAGATTAGCAGAAGAAATTCACAAATCAGCATTGCTCACCTTTTCTTTTTTGACTTTGATTTTCCGTGGAACTGGAACATATGTGCTGTTAGAAGAAAAAAACAACACCAAGATTAGTAAAAGCCCAACATGTTAATGTTTTCATGTATTTCCAAAGAAAGAATATTCTTCATGTACAGGAATAAATTCAAGTTATTTGAAAGCAATAAATTCAAGAAATTGTTGGAAAATGAGGCTGCAATTAAGTAATACAGCATGAAAAGAACTGAGGTGTCACTGAAGCAAGTTTATAGGAAGCTATTACATTTTTAAATTTTCAAGTTAATTATTGACAGTAAGACACCAAAGATTTATTTGACAATATATTGTGAAGTCAATACTATGTGGAGCCCATGACTTCTAATTCTTGGCCCATGACTGTTGCAGTCTTTGCACTTGGATGACGGGAAGGGCTTTCCATTTAATTTCAAGGCAGAAAAACCTTTTTCCACCAGGGGGAGACTTTTCCCCTCCTAATACTTGCAGCTACTGCATGATTTTCAGAGTCGGTGGTAGTAGAGTTCATAATTTCTGTGGTTATGTGCAACACTGGCATTCCCAGTACACAGCCCCTCACCAGCAAGCTATTCCCCTCCTCCCCAGGGGGATGCTGAAGGCTTCCTGCAGTTCCCAGCATAAAACTTCCAAGTCATACCTTATGACTGGGTTGAAATCACGAGTCATGTCTTGAAAACAAAAAAATCAAAAAAATCTTTTCTTCCCCATATCTCGTGCACAGTGCATGCTGGCATTGCACAGCTCATCACGAGTGCTGTAAAAAAAATCTCCCTCAGTTTGTTTCAAGTGAGAAAATTCTGAACTGGCCTTGTAACTGGATTATATCCCAAAATATACTCTGCATACTTTTTAGATAGATCACCAAAACCTTCCATTAGTTCAATCTAAATGTTTTTACTTGATTTTTGGTAACAGGGTTCCTGTGATTAACGTTTTATTTCTCATTGAACCATGGATCATCGGCACTTTGAAACATTAGTCTGTCTTCCCAAACCAGTGGTGACCTGGCAATGTCCTCGTCTCCTTAGGTACTTCGGGGCATCCCTGACCTTAGATCCCTGCCCCAGGCTGGATGCAGTGGAAGATGCGACAGGCTCCAGCCCCCGGAGATGTGACACGAGATGCTAATGGGGACAGGGACATCCATGCAGACTTCTTAATCTGCCCTCAGCAAATCTGCCCTTGCATCTGCTTCCCACACCTGACCTTGGTTAGCAAAGTCGGTAGAAGTAGGCTTGGTGATCCCATGTCCTTTTTGTGGTCATGAAGACATAAAGGGCTTCTTTGCTGGTAAAATCTCCTTGTTATTATATAAATAAATAGCCAGTCTTTTCTGAAAAGGTGATGTGGAGGAAACAAGAGAGCCATATTTCATGGACATCTAGCCAGGTACAATAAAAGACCAAAGTGAAGGGTATGCAATATTCAAGACAGTATTTGCAGAGAGCTCTAATCCAACCAGGAGACTACTGTAGCTCTTGTCAGATGACATGTTAGTCAATTTAATCATGGGACATTTCATTTTTTCAGAAGCAATACCCAAGTCCTGTTGTCACTTGGCTGCAGAATTTCATACAACTGCACAGAAAGTATTGGAACCCTGACTAAGGCCAAATGGAGACCTATGCCATTATAATCATGTAAAAACTGGGCTGCATAGCAGCCAGGGAGTTAGTGACCCAGTAAATAACACACAGGAGTGGGACAAAGAGTAAAGCCTGTGATGAAGGTGGCTACAGGTGAAATTCATATAATCTGGAAAACATCTTCTATGAGCCACTTGGCAGGGCTCTACTGAAGTCTGCCAGCATCACTGGCCACCTTGTACAGGACATTTACTGTACCGTTGACCCAAGTGGAAGATGTGGAACATTTTAAGGAATACAAAATTGCTCTTTGACAACCCAAGTGGAGATACATGTAGCTCTTTGCACTGTGGAAATTCCTAGAAGACTTGCAGAAGGCAAGTTAAGGCAACGAGGCTAAATATATGACTGATGAGGGACTGAAGGTTTACTGTCCCAGAAGCCTTTTCTTGGTCTTTTCTGGGACAATGCTCAGTCTTAGAGAGCCACTTTGAAACGGGATCTCCATCAGTCAAATGGGACATGTCTGAAAGAATCATTCAGCTATCAATTCAATCTAATACTAAGGCCATCTGCAGTTTGACTTTTGTTTTGAACCATACAGGATGCTTATCTTAACTATGAGTGCACTAAGGTGAGTATTTCTTCTCTTCTGAACTACTGAATTTCAGAGGGGTTTTATTTTTATTTGATGCCTTCTCCCCTTTACAAATGTACAGTCAACAATTTCCTTATACATTGTGTCTGACATTGTGCGTTTAATGCATGTTCATAGGTTTATTCTGCTAGCCTAAAATTATGTTAAATGTATTGTTATGATTTGTGTGCTTATGATTTTATTGCTCCAGTATGTGGCAGCCTATTAATTATGCAATTTCCCTGCTTTGAGTACAGCAAAAATCTTAAAATACTGCTATTTCTTCCATGGGGTTAAATACTCACACACTAATTTATACCAGATGCTTACCAAGCCCATGTATACAATCTAATTATACATATATAATATATCCTGTAATTTATTAAGCAAAGATGTTTTTCCTTTCTTGTGCTGTGACTGCTTTGTAGTAAACCAGTTATATCTTCCTGACAGGCTAAGGCCTCACTCAACTTTACCGCTGCAACCCACTTGCTGCCACTTCTGAAGGTAAATACTCGACAAAAAGTAGGGAACGGCTTTGCAATCCGGGCACAGAGCACTGACAGTGATGGAAACATGGATGGGTGACAATGGCAGCAACTGGCCCTCTGTGGGTGCCTCTTCCTAACGCAGGCATGGATTTGACAAAGATGCAGCAAGGGGCTTCATTCAAAGGCCACCGAAGGCAGCTGGGAGCTTTCCATTGGTTCTGATAGGATTTGGATCCAGGCTTAAGGGCAGAGGTTCTCAACCTTTTTTATCAATACAGCTTCTAAATGAAATAAAACTAAGCCTTGCAAAAAAGGTGATATTTTTAAGCCAATTGTCTAAGTAGGCTGATTTTTCCAGGAGTGTGTCCTGAAGATGGATTTTTTTCAAGGCAACTTATGACTGTATATAATAAGTGCTGGTGGCAAAAAAGGTAAAGAGACTAAACCAGATTTGTTACAAGCTAAGAGAATCTTAATAAGAAGTGAAAAAAATCTAAAATGCATTTGCAAAGAGAGAAAAGAAAAAGAAAAGAAGAAATAAATAATGTTGTCCCATCAAAAAGTTTTCCTTAAAAATGTGAAGAGGGTCTTATCCCCAGTCAACAGGGATATACTTTCACAAGTTTTTAATCTGAAATTGGGAAAAAAGTTGAAATGTCTTGAAATACTTGTCTCTGGAATAATAATCTGATCTGTGTTGCTGTCTATGTGTAGCAGGGCGCCACTGAGCAATCCCATCAGGCTTTGGCTTTCCATCCAGCAGATAACCTCACACACAGTACAAAGGTCATGTATTTCATTCTCTGGATTAGGAAAAGCCAGTTTACAGGAAGGGAGAGAATCTGCTAGCAGGCGTCCAGAAGAAACATGCATTTTGTTCACATTTCTAATTTTAGTGCTGCCATAAATGTATTAAGCAGGACAATATTTACTTCTGAAAGCACAAAGAAGTGGAGAATAAATACCAGCGTGGCACATTATTGCTAGGTAAAACATGTTAATTTAAAGCTAAGGCACACAGGTGCCACATGAAACAATTGTGTCTCCTCTCCACGCCTCTCAAACACCTTCCACCAGGAAAGACGGACAGAACTCCTGACCAGCCTGTCCAGGGGAGGATGCTGTGGATGGGGGACTAAGTGTCCCAGTCTGCTTCTGCTCGCACTGCCTTCTGTGAGCAGCCTGCACATCCCTGTCTGCCTCCCTGTCCTCTTCTGCAAGTGGGGTAATATATGTTGGAGGACCACTTGGCCACCCAAATGTCTCAGGGGAGATAATCTGGGTACCTAGGACCACTGCTGAATGAATAACCCGCCAAACACCTGATTCTGCAGATGGCTTTCTGATGGGTACATCTGGGTATGGGCATGCTGGCTGCACCGACTGTACTCCCAAGGGACCCTGACTTGAGAGGGTCTGTAAAGCTCCCCTAGGCCTTATCAGAAGCGGGGATTTGCCCAGCATGGGCTTTTTTGTCCTACAGTAACATGTGGGGGCTCCCACCCCTTCAGCCTGGCCACTCAGGGCCGCCCTTACTCACAAGTTGATGGTGCCTGTGGTGAGAGCGGTGACAACCCAGCGCAGGTCCAGGGTTTTGAACGGGATCAGGATCATGCTCACGTTTTCTGCCAGCTCTTTGTAGCTCTCAGGGTAAACGAAGTGGTGAGTGGTCTTGCTCCCAACATCTGATTCGTAGCCAGTGGTGGGGGCACGGTTCATTCTGCAGCCCAAAAGTAAGAAGTGAGAGAGTGAGGAAGCAGGAGAGGAATTAGGTAGGTATAAACATGTGTGATTCTTCCCCAAATCATTTGCTTGAGGTGGCAGGAAAATGCTCCCATGGCTAAGGAGACTGCTGTATGCAGGCTCTTCAGACAGCCTTGACAGGGTGTGGTGGTCCTCAGGCAGGCTGAAATAACCATCACCCATAGTGGAAAAAATTAAAAGTAAATGAAAGCTCAGCTGTAGTGTGGGATTCCTTGGACTGAATGGGAGTTTCTGCCAAGCAAGTGTATCTCTGAACACATCCCTGGGTTCCCTTTACAGTCAGCGGAGAGCTGGTCAAAAGAGCAGTGGGTCCATGAGGACACATCTCCTTTCATCCTAAAGCTGAAGCCTCCAGTAGGTGAGAAAAATATTGCCCTGAAGTCCATCCGTTTGACTTCTTGCAGTTTCATTCCCCCCATCTGTACAGGTGTATTTGGATGTCTAGGGTCAAGGCAACAAACCATGTTATGTGTGATAAGAAGCAGCAAATATTTCTTATGGCCCTTCCATGAAAAGGCACCAAAGCCACAGTGGCCAATCCAGGACCTACTGCTGACACTTCATGTACTCAAACCTTACTTTGTAGCATGTCCCCCAACTTCGATACATCTACTTAGGGTCACTCCGCACACACGTAGTGTGATTTCAGTAATCCTGGGGTCAGTGCATGGAGATCTGCCCAGGGCCCACCAGGGCTCAGTTAAAACATGTTGGCCAAACAGGGTTACCTTATGTTGGGTGTTTCAGGAAACAGGGAACAGAGGGGGTTCTGAACTCAGGACTGCAGAAACATCTCTATGCATGTGTTCCCTCCTGAAAGCAAATCTGGGGACACATCAGCAATTCCTTCCCTGATGCATTAGCTCACTGCTAGTAGAGATTTGCATGTTTCTGTGGTGCAGCGTAATGCAGGTTGGAGATCCCCAAAGCGTCTCTGACCGACCTTGCATGAATCCATGGTGCTGTGCAACACCATGGAGAAAGCCCCAAGCTGTCTCTGAGCAGAATGGGGTTTCTCTGCAGCCCAGTGGAGTCTCCTGCAGAGACATTAGCTCAGCTCCTCACAGATGTGCAGGGAGGACAAGGAAGGATATAGCTGATGAGATGATGAGGAGCATCGTACATTGCCAGACAACATGATGCCCTGGTCACTGATAATTGGGGAGGTAAAATCTGTTTATCAAGTCTATGCCAAGCTATGTTACTGCAGTGCTCCCCCAGGTGAATTAGTTAAGTTTAACTCCCTCAAAGGGAGTTACTAGCATAGGCAGACTATCCTGCCAGCCTGTGAGGACTTGTTATTGAGTTAGCCTCTTTGCTGCCAGCAACCCGCATTGTACTGTGTAGAACTACTCAGTAAAGCACGAGATTTACTATGTTTTATCTTGAGATTAGTCAGTCTGAGGTATAAAATATCTTTCTGTCAGGGGAAAGCCAAGGGTGGCATCTTAGTTAGCTTGCTCACACCCTGCCATCTGTGGTGGGGCTCCTGCGTGGCATGGCAGAAGGCAGCGTTCACATCCAGTCTGAGCATGAAGGACCAAGCAGAAATTTCCTTCCGTCATGAAAGTAGATAGTCAAACAAATAAAAGTGGGCGGGAACACAGTGTTTGGAAGGAAAGGTGTCCCCTCAGACTCCCCGCCTCTTCCCCATGCTTGGCTGTATTGCCAGAGCACGTGCAAGTGAGTATCAAGTCACAAGAGATTTTGTTTGTTGGATTAACACACGAAGGAGTCACCTTCCCTGCACAAGTTTCCACACTGAATCCTAAAACCTTGTGCCATCACTTCAGATCTGGTTTGAGATCCCTAAAGTGGAAATCAGAGCCTGAAAGGTTCAATTTCAAACCACTGAGTTTCTCCCTTGCCAGCGATGCATGGCTATGAGAAGGGCTAGGCCTCAGAGCAGAAACCCGCATCCGAGTGCGTTACTCTTTAGTTACTACTCAAAAAAATAGCTTTTGAGTCTAGCAAAGCCTTTTCTGCATGAATCTGGAAACGTCGGCCACGCAAGATAAGAAATTCCACACAGGAATGGGGCTGTCTCCATAGCGAGGGACACAGAGTTAAGCATATATGCACCTCAGCTGCCTCACATTTGCAACCTGCAGGATTAATGTCGAGGGCTCTTCACTTCCCTTCATGTATCTGAAGACCAGGTCGGCTGCCTCTGCCTTTGGGAAGGTACTTCTGGCAGAGGGCAAGGCATGCAGCTGAAGGAAGCAACTCCTGAAATGATTTATTGTGAACATTTAGATGTCATCTAAAGATTCTACAGTGTGTCCAAGCCACATTGGAAGCCAAGTGGCCTAAGGTGGCTTAACAGTTCAAATAGTGCTCATCTTCTGCTGATTCACTCTTGACTTCAGTGCACAGTTTCCTGCTAAAGGTTATGTTGTTTTTGAGATTATAATCCCACATGTGGCATTTTCAACAGCAATCCCTTCCTTCCAGGCCCTCTGACCTGCCCTGCATTGCTCCCCAAATTGGGCTGTACTGGCATCTGTGGTGTGAAAGCTGGACAACGCCTTGGAGGTGAACTTAGTCAGCCCAGATATCTTGGCTGCCCTCTGGGTGATTAGCTCTGCTTACCTCGTTCCCGCTTGCGTTTCAGTAGGACAAAAGAGTGGGACCTTTGCCTCGAAAGGAAGAGGCGATGCGACCCTTTACAAAGTAGCTGCAGCCAACCAGTTGTCTCCTGCCCATTGCAAAGTGACTTTGGCTTTCCCACCCCACCGTTGCTTAAGAATGAACCCGTGCAAGAAAGTCGAATCTGATACAGCTAATTAAGTGTGTAAAAGACCATTTGTGAGTACTAGCTGCAGAAATAACTTTTATTCAAAACTGCATGTTTTTTCAGCTATATTTTTTAACACAGGCAATTATGGATGGTGCAGAACAAGCTACAGTATCAACAACTATTCATGTTTTTTTTCCAAGCTAAAAGATGAGGTTGTCTCTCCAACACACATAGTTTACATCCCTGGAACTTAGATTTGTCCTAAGTACCAGATTTCACTAGATAGCCCCTGAAATCTTGTTCGCTCACTTGTCCCCCAAAATACCAGTGAATCTTAAACAACAAAGACGTCTGGAGCCGAAGTGGTGCCTACTCACCTGAGCACAAAGTCATGGGAGTCAATATCTTGGCCATACTGAGACTGCCGAAGGTTCCCAGAGTTGCCCACGACGGCACACCGTCTGCATGTGTAAGTGCCTCGCTCCTGCAGTGGATCCCCATCCCCAGGAATGATCCCAAACAATTCCTTGAGAGTAGCATTAATATTCTTCGGAGTTTTCTCTCCTTGCAATTTCTGTTAGGGAGAAAAATCATTTCAGGTTACCAATATAGCTAGCTTTTCTGTGAGCAAGGCGTAGCTTCAAATGTCTTCTCAAAGATGCATTCTTGCATCTACCTGCAGACTCGGTCTCCTGCAGTACTCATTACAAGGCTTCAGGTTGGGAGCAGAAGTGTGGGGGAAAAAAAAAAAAGTGGAAAATCCCTTCCCATTAACTTTTTAAACTTGGTTCCCCTTTTCCCTTCCTTTTCCTTGATTCTCTCACCTCCTCAGTCTCTACCTAGCCATGGTGGAACAGATCATGCATTCTCCCCAAGGCTGACCTTAGCAGAATAAATGTTCCTCTGGTGTCTATAAAACTAATCCCACCTTGAGCCAGATATCTTCTGTTAGGATATGTATAAGATTTCTTTTAACTGTCCTAGGAAGGACAGAAGAGTCTCAGGGAACCTGATGGAGCACAGAAGTGTCTGACACCCCTTCCACAAATTTTGGCATATGCCAGCAGTGGGAGATCTTATTGCTGCTGTTCTGGACTGTGGAGGAACCAGCTGCTTGTGCAATAGGAAACTACGGTAAAGTAGAGTTAGCCCTGAGGTTTGGAGATGTAAAATCATCTAAAAAATTCTCCAGGATGAAGAAAACCACCCGGACCTTGGTCATTGTGTCTGTTGCCATGGAGGGGATCTCTTTTGTGGAAGCTCTGTGGTGCATGGTGGAAACAATGGCTGGAACGAAGGTACAGGCAAGGTGCAGGGCAGGTGATGGTCAGACACTCCCTTTCTGGGGTTCTGCTCTCTGAGGGCTACTAAGGAGGTTGGGAGTGCTGGCAGGCTCACAAAAAGCATTGCCCGTCCTTGTGGTGCCACTTGCTTGCAAGTTCACAAAGGGAGTACAGCTCCTAACACAAAATCTGCCAAAAGACTCTGCCCTTGCTCTGCCAGCCCAGGGCAAGGAGAGACAGGGAGGGAGGGAGGGAGGAGAAACGCCTTTTGCCACGACTCCCAGCAATGGCCTGGGGTAATTTGGCTTTAGTTTCCGATGCGTTTCCCTCGACTTCACCAGGAACTGTTAATTTGTCCTGCTATCTCTTTCTCTCATACACAAACACAAACAGTTGTATCACTGTAATTTTTGTTTAAATTTCGTGTTGTCTCTTTGCAGGCCTATGTAAAGCAACTTTATTTGCACTGGATTGAACAACAGGTCTGTGGAGCTCAGCGCTACAAGGCAACATTGGGACCAAGAACTTGAAACAAAGAAGACAAAGAAATGTTGCATACGTAGACTTAATCTTCCTGCTAATCCTTGCCAGCCTATATACTCATATATGGACTGCACAAAGTAATTAAGATGCAAGGTAATTAGGATGCCCAGGCAAGCACTGTCATTATTATCACATATGTCACTATTCAGTGGATGGCTCAATTATTTAAGTGAAAAAGGTTATCTTATTCTAAATTTGTGTGTGATGCTACAAACACATGTTCATGTATCTAAACTCTTGTGTGTTCTTTATGAATCCAATCTAACCTGTTTTTACTCTCAATATATGAAAAACACTTAATGTTAGAAAGCCTGCAGCCTTCAGAAAAATGGAGACTTCACAGATGTCTTAGAGTGTAGTATCAGGTGTATAATGTAGAAAAATCCAACCTTTTTTTAAAAAGGAACATATTTTGAGTTTTTTGAACACGTATGTGCATATACCCATGTATACTCTCTCTCTGTAAAGGTGAACTGACTTTAACTGTCATTAAAAAATGAAAGGGAAAACCACCAAACATGCACCAAAACATTTTTAAGAACATAAACTTTTTTTTTTTTTTTTTTAAGGGGGGGAAATTTGTTCTTGAACTGATTTTGCCTGAGAAAATTCAGATGAGGAAGGTAATTTTCAGAAAATTTGAAGTACCTGAGCCCCCTTTTTAAGTTAAATTGCCTTTTCAGCCAGAAAGATAGCATCCGTAAAGGAAAGGACCTGGAGTACTGACTTCTGTTTGATGCATTAAAATGGTAAGAAACATTATTGTGGGTAGGCACCTCCATTTACCCAGAACAGGGATCTGCCTTTTCTTTCTGTTATGCTGCTATCGGTCTAGAGTAACTCTATTGCAACGAAGTTAAAACATGAGCATCAACACCAGCCAGAAAGCAGGACACCATTGTCTTAATCCCTCAGTTGTACACAATTTCCACAGCAGAGATTATTACTTACGTTAGAGATTCCCTCAATGACCTTAAATAGGATGATGACCTTATTGCACTATGTGCTGAACATCCACACAATAAGACATCCACCCTTAACTCATTGAAAGTGCTTTGTTTTAATTTCCTCAGTGATTATCTGATTGGTTGTCCTGGTTTTGGCTGGGATAGAGTTAAGTTTCTTCTAGTGCTGTGTTTTGGATTTAGTATGAGAAGAATGTTGATAACACACTAATGTTTTCATTGTTGCTAAGTATCGTACTGGTCAAGGACTTCTGGCTTCCATGCTCTGCCAAGTGCATAAGAG